TGTTACATCTAGTATTCCACAAATATACAGCGTCAAGCGTCTCAGCCGTTATACTCAAACTCGGCTTTCTGCGCTTCCGAGTTTTGACAATCCTTTCGTGCTTCGCCGTGTTCTGGTCGATATGCGCAACCTGATGCCTATGCGACCAGTCTCTTTGCCACCAATGTCAATCGGTGCTTTAAGTTCTGTAGGCAAAGATATTTCAAGCGCCAAGAAACCTTGCGGGAATGCCGAACAATTTTATACGGAATCATCTCCGTCCAGGTATTCTTCTTGGAGTTCAATGCCATCTGCTGGATGTTCTTATTTAGCACCGTTGGCCTACCGCCCAGCCAGCACAATGACTGCGATTTTACCACTAATTCGGCACTGTCAAAAGTGTGGCTCTCAGCGTATTCGCTTTATTTTGGTCGAGCGGCCGCCATTCTTCGAGGCTAAAGAAGAATTAGCTTCTACAGACGATTGGCTTCGACATCGTAAAGTGCGCCCCAAAAAAGGGAATTATTTCTTCGAGAAGCAGGTTAGTTAGCGATAACCTTGTTTATGTGTCATTGACTCTTAGGTCTTTTTGGAATTGAAATACTAATTGTGTATCAACATAGCCATATGTATCTCAAACCTACTAATATTTACACTAGGTATCATGAAAGGTTATTGAAGTATTAATTAGTTTTTTATATTATTAATATTAATGTTAGATCATTTTTTCCACCATTATGTAATCGAGTTTGTTTTAAGACTATTGTTTATGTATCCCAAAAGAATGTTTTCACCTAGTGTGTTAAACTCTTTCGATAGTGTCTATTTCTTATCCTAGGTGTTATAATATTTAATTCAAGAGTTCACAGACTATACGTCTCGAAATCTTCTTGTTAAAAAATTTGACTTTTAAAGTTTAGAGACTCTACCTACATTCATTTTTCTTGGGAAATTTATTATATATGAGTACTTTTTTGCCGATGAAATGTTGATCATTGCCGGTGCTATCAGGAATCTGATTATTAACGGACCAAATAATTACCAAGGGCACTCCAACTCATTAATCTACGATGTATTCACCCTATTTCGTTTAAGGTGTTGTGAAATTCAATGGAAACGTAAGCTCTACACATTAGTGTGGGAAAATTCAACTACCAGTCCTTCATCACCTTAAACGAAATAGGGTGAATACATCTTATATTACTGATTTACTGGTTGTCTCGACACTACTCAAATATGAAAAATCATTAATTTACATTTGCATTAACTCCACCCTGCCTTTATCTGCTCTTCTAAAAGTATGCTTTTCCAATTTTGGATTAAGATTTGAAAACAAATCTATTAATACCGCTGCATTTAAGCCACGACTTTCATTTCTATCGAGCTTACATTGTGATGAAACTAAGACGATTTCACTTTTTACCTCTTCTTTAAATGGCGCTTTTATATCGGATAAATGCAATATACCTGTTCATAAATACATATGAGCTTAGTAATATCTTAATGCATGGACATTCTTTTGTCTCATCATCCAGCCTTATTTTGCTCCCTATAGGTAAGTGTTCATGAACACTTATCTTTATGAAGTTCTGCTGACTCTTGACGGCTATATATTTGTCAGTTAAGTAGAGCCATAACTTCACCAACTCCTGCTACAGGAAGGAAACAACAGTATTTATTGGAGAATATAGAATTGGAGCAAGTGTTTGGCAATGTACCTAGCTCCCTATACATGTACGGGTGTAAGTACATCAGCTGTCCAAGATTTGTAAGATTTTATGTGAACATATCACCCTGTGAATTTGCCCAGAGTTGTTTCATTATAGAAGTGGGTTGACCTCGTTGTCGCAACTTGGTCTTGTGTTCAGGGAGACTATGTAGAACGCAC